GTTTGCTGAAAAGCTCTATTCTCTTCCCACTCAAGTCGACAGAAGAGAAGCAGAAGACGGAATTAAAAATTAAGGTAAATGAATCCCGAGAACTTAGAAAAATAAAAGTAGTTAGCTAAACAGAAAGAAAATATCACTACTACTGCATAAGCTCTTAAGAGCCACTCCTCTGACAGCAGTGAAAAAATAGGTCAGCTCTTGAGACACAAGGGGATTCTGAGCCCACCCAGCAAGGCTGAAATGTTCCTCCCCTGTAAATGGAGAGAGGCCAACAATCCATAAAACACTCATCTTTGGGATTTCCCAGGCTGCAGAAGACACAAGAGGGTGGGATCTATTATAACCGCTGCCCTTTTGAGACAAAAAATTATTTCCAGGAAATACTGTGTGTGTCACAAGCTTGTCTACACCTGTCAAGTGAACTTTGTGCACTGTAGAGATTGAGAGTCAAAGGCAGAGCACCACCCACAAAAAAAATATTTAGAGAGGTATATATTTAAAAAAAAAGAAAAAAGTCAAGATGCAGTGTTTTTATTTAAATGGGTATGAATTTTGTAAATTTATGTAGTCAGACCTCCAACTTGTCTAAAATAAAAGGGTTGGAAGGGAAGGAAAGCTATGCAGCATAAGAACCTCTGGAAAACTTAACCAGCTAATACAAACTCCTTCACCTTCGATTAAAAGCAGAGCTAGTCTAATTATTTGGCTGCTTTAAACTAGTGTGGCCCAGCAGACAATGGATTCCCACACTGGGAATCAGTCCTGGGCTCTATACTTGGCTCTCCTGCTGATGCACTGTGTGACTATAGGCAAGTCATTTCACTTTACTGAGCCTCTGCTTCCTCCCCTGCCCTTTATCTGCTTTGGCCATTTACACTGTAAATTCTTTGGATTTAAGACTTTCTCTTACTATGTGTACGTATCATTTGGGGCCTCAGTTTAATATCAATAATAATTTATTTGCACTTGAATCATGCAAATACCTTTTAATTTGTACAAATGGATGTACAGGGGTTATTTGTACAAAGTACAATTTTATAGCATGCATTCACAATTGGCTATTTAGTTTATGTAACAGGTAACTTGATTCATAAGGTACTGTCTACGCTCCCTGGCTGATGGTTAGAATCCCTCTGGATTCCCAAATCCACAAAAGGTCAATACCAACCACAGCAAATTATTACACTTAAACATTTATTTATTTGTATGTAAATGTGTATTCATTCAAGCAATGCTTTTGATTTTGGAAACATTTATCTTTCAAACAACAGGAACCACAAAGGTTTGCACACTCCTGACTTCAATAGACCTAGTCCAGTTCCTAATGCAAGCATTGAAACCTTTTCTTTTCTTTGTTGTTGTTGTTTTGTTTTGTTTTTTTTGGGGGGGGGGGATTTTTTTTTGTTTGTTTTTTACACAATTCCTGTCCAGCAGTGCTTGGAAAATAGTCAAAGTCAATACTGTAGGTCAAGTCATACCCTTTATGCAGTGGCTCTCTACATGTTTGGACTCAAGGTACACCTCCATAACTTTTGGGAATTGAGTGGTACCCAATTTCAAAACTGAATGTATATATTACAGTGCTTACTAGGGCTGTGCAAAATTTCGCCAGCAGTTTCATTTCGACGTTGTTTTGACTCGTTTCGAGCTTGAAACAGCGAAATCTAAACGAAAGAGAGCTTTGAAACAGCCTTGAAACGAAATGAGGCAAGTCAAAACATTTCAAAAATTTTGAAATGTTTTGAGCTTCAAAGCTCAAGTTGGACTTGCCGGCAGGGAAACAGAAACTAAAATACGGAGGGGGGGGGGGAAGAGGGGGGAAGGAGCGCTCTCATTGACTGTGTAGCTGGCCAGTGACTGTTATCCTTTCCTGAGGTCTCTTCCAACTCCAGTGCTCTGGGGAAAGGATGGAAAAACTGCATAAAAGGCCGCATTATTTGAACTGCCCTGCTTTCTGCCTTGGTGTCACTTATGAGCTGCGTGTTCCAGTTTTGCCTGTCAGCAGCTAGAGGTGCAGGGCCCCAGACCCCAGACTCCTCCTGCACGTAACTCCTTAACAGCTGGCAGGCTTTGTGGCCTCAGCAGGGGCTAGCGTACCTGCAGCTTTCACCCTGCTGTGCCTTAACACACACACAGTGTCACCCATGTCACAAGTTTTGCTTGTCTGCAGCTTGAGGTGCAGTTTCCCCAAAACCCCTGCACCTATCTCCTTGACACTTGGCAGGCTTCATGCCCTTGGAAGGGGCTACCATTCCTGCAAGTTTCATCCAAATCAGTCCACAAATAACAAAGTTATAGGCTCGTTTGAGCCTCCCCATTATAGCCTACGGGCAAAACGAAACAGAACAGCCATTTCAAATTGAAACTCAAAACGAAACACTGTTCCGTTGAAATGGAACGGTGCCATTTCACACAGCCCTAGTGCTTACCTCCTTGCAGAGGGGCTGGGCAGTAGGCGTAGGGGACTGTCCAGGCAGAGACAACCCACTGCTTTATCTGCTTATCTCCTCACACCTTGGGGCACACTCCCCTGAACACACTAGGCCACACAGCAGAAAAAATGCCAAGTCTCATTTACACGACTGCCAACACAGCTGGGAATCACTAGTCTGAAACATCTTGGCATAGGACAGGAGGGTGGTCCAACTCATTTGGCCCTGTGGCTGAAATGGGACTATGGAACGTTTTGTGGGCTGGATGACACATCTTGCAAGAGTGGGGGCAGCAACTCTGAAGCCCAGGGAGTGACCACAGCCACCAAACCCCCCACCCTAAACCTTTGCTCCTGCCCTAAAATCCATGGCAGGCTTGACCACTAGGTGTCCTGAGCAGCACCAATGCAGCAACTCCAGCAACCACTCCGACCAGCCCGAGGGGCCTCAGCGACCACTCGCAGACTGTCATGGACAGCCCTCAGCAGGTGAATGAGTGAGCTTTTTATTGGGGGGTTTTCACCATGCAGAAGCCTGACATTGCCACAAAGCAAGGACAGGCTAGTGATGCCAGCGCTAGGTCCCTAGAAGTGCAATGCTGCCCTGCCCTCCACGCTGCCCCATGCTCTCCCCCTTCACCGCAGTGTTGCCAGGTGTGCGATAATTAGCATATTTATATGGTAATTTCAACCCTTGTACAATGTATGATCAGAACATAAAAAGTGTTCAAAATCTACAGTAGTTTGAGGCAGCTAATTGATGCAGCATATGCAAAACCGAAGTCACTCTCAGGGAGTCTTAACTGACATATATTAGGTGAGCCAATACCGACAGCCGATTTTTAAGGAGGCATAATCAGCCAATACCGATCCGATTTCCAATACAGCTGCGTGCAACTGGTAAGTTTGTCTTGGTGGAAGGGGAGAAGAGAGAGAAAGGGCATGGGGGGGCGGGGGCAGATCAAGGCCCCTATGGTGAGGGAGGGAGGGAGTGGAGCGGAGCTGCGGCAGGTGCTGCCCAGCTGAGGCAGGGCAGGGGACAGAGCCAGGGCTCATCCAGGGGCCGTGGCGGGGACTCCTACCACTGTGCATACCTTGGGAGAGCATGGAGTGGGCGGGGCTACAGCTGCAGGCTGGAGTGGCCCTGGGCTCTTCCCAGTGCTTGGGGGCTGCGCTTGGAGCGGGCAGCGGCGGTGCTGGGAGGGGACTACAGGGGAGCTATGGCGAAATTTGGGGTGGCTGTACCCCGCCTCCGTAACCCCTCTCCCAGCGCCACTTTTGCCTGCCCCCAGAGCAGCCCCCATGTGCTGCGAGTTTAGGCTCCACACGCCAGGAAGAACCTGCCCCCAGTACAGATCTGGGGCACATGCCCCACCACCCCGTGTTCTCCTGGGACATGCACAGCAGCAGGAGCTGCCCTTCCACCCCACGCCTCCCAGATGAGCTGTGGCTCCATCCTGTGCTCCGCTCTGGCTAGGCACCATCAGCCCCTGCTCCACTGGTCCCTCACTGTGGGGGGGCACTGATCTGCCTCCCTACTCCCCTTCCACCACACCAAACTTATCAGCTGCACACAGCTCTCCACACTGCTGGGCTGCACTCCTTGCTGCCTACGTGCTGCGCTGCGACTGTGCGCATGCACGGCCATTTATCGGCCAAATTATTGGCCACGTCAGGCCAGTTTCCGATACAATCAATTTCCTTTATATCGGTGCTGATCCTATATCAGACCGATATATCGATGCACCTCTAATATGTACATTTTTTGCGTTCCAGGCCAAATTAGCCAAATCAGTTCCAAATCATATTGGCTGAGTGCAACTCATTTGTTCCAAAAACCATACTGATTGAGCAGGCAGAACTAAAGTCGTTCTAAACAGCGTGTATGGCGCTACAACTGGTGAGCGCCCTCTGTCCCAGACCTATCCCCCTGGCGCTTCAGATACTCCCAAATCCATTGGCAGGTTTGGGGCTTCAAATGCCCCCAGATACTACAGGCAAGCCTCCGTCATCTGACTCTTTAGTCCGGGACTTCAGATACTCCCTACGCTCGATCTTAGCCCGTTCTCAGCACTCTCTTACAATGGCTTGCCTCCAAATAAAGAAACGTAGACTTTGACAACCCAGTCCTCACTCAACTCATGTGTGTCAGTGAGCAATATAAAGTAAAAAAGATGACTTATTTGCATAGTTATCTACCTATTTTTTCAGTGGACGACAGTTCAGCAAATACAATCACTTTGAGCTTCCAATACAATAATTTCGTATTTAAGACCTGGCAGCGCTGCTTCACCCCGACATACACCAATACGGAGCCAAGCAACCCCACCCAAGAGGGAGCCACGCCCCTGCTTCGATGACGCCACGAGGCCCCTTCCAGCCCCACTTTCCTCTGACCCTATATTCCCCCGCCCATAGCAACGACCAGGTGTGGCGTAACAGGATTACGTCACGCGGTTGGGGGGGGGGGCTCCCCGGAGCCACCCTAGTTGGAGGGAGCACCAAGGGAATTCCGGCAAGCAGCAGCCCGCGCCCGCAGACCCCGCCCGGCGCCGCGGCTCCTACTCACGCGCTGGCGCCCGCCAAGTCCCGCCCCGCGCCGTCCTCGCTTCCCGCCGCTCCTTCGCCCTCCTTCAAAATGGCCGCCGCGTTTAGATTCTGCGCCCCAATCGAACATGGCCGCCCCCAGGGCGGCTTCCTAGCCTGACTATAAAATGGTGGGCGTGAACCCTCTTCCACTGCCCCCTAGCTCGGCGAGCTGTGAAAGCCGAGGACCGGGCTTCCTCCCGCCTTCCGGGTCACGTGATCCGGTAGAGCCAATAAGGAAGAAGAAAGGGGAGGGCTTCCCACGCCGAGGGCGTGCTAGTATGCAAAATTACTGCGAGTTACTGAATTGTGACGTCACGGGCAGGGAAAGGGCAGCTTAGATGCCGGCATCTGCCCCTCCGCGCTGGGCCGCGGATGGCATAGGTAGCTGCAGGGCCTCACCATTCTTTCCTGTGGGCGCGGCGCAAAGCATTTTGTGTGGCCAGACAGGCGTTTGGCTGGGACGCCTCTTAACCCCCCCGGAAGGTCCCCTGGTGCGGCTTCGCGCTCCTTGCCTCGCGCTGCTGCTGTTGCCCTTCCCCTCCTCCGGCGGCGGTGCGTGAGCCAAGGTGAGGCCGGGGGCAGGCGGTTGGTTGCCACGTGCGGGGGTCTGGGCGCGAGGCGCTTGACGCCCGTGACATAGGAAGGGGCGCCCCCTCCGGGGCAGTGTTGCCGGGTGTAGGATAATTACCGTATTTATACGATAATATCAGCCGTAATAAAAGTATTCAAAGCATAGGCTCGTTTTTGAGGCAGTTTGTTCACGCAGCAAGTGCGAAAGTCCCTCTCATGGAGTCGGAACAGACTTCTGGGCTTGCTGTCTGCATTGCCTCGAAATTATTTTTTTAAATGCTTCAACTTTGTCTCAGTTCTCATTCACTGGTGAGTTACAGTGAGCAGTTAGGAGTAAAGAAGAAGAGGATTTATTTGCATAGTTTTCAGTGTACAGTAACTTCTTCAGCAAATACGACCGTTTTGAGCTTCCAATGCAATAATTTCATGTTTCAGACCTGGCAGCACTGCTTCAGGGTGAAGCTGCTGGGTGCTGTGCTGCAGCCGCCAGAGAACAGTGGCATTGTACAGAAGTGGGCTGGGTAGGCAGCCTGGGCCTGCGTGGCCAGACTGGGGAGGGTGTTGGTCTTGGGTTCAGATAAGCCGTGCACTACACTCCTGCTTCCAGAAGGGTGGAGAGGGGTGTCTCTACCTATGTGTGATGTACAGGTACCTATCCATCTATTTATCTCCTTACGTGTACCTGTCTATATCATATAGAAAGACAGAGCGAGCAAGAGGAAGAGCTATCTATCTATCATAGATCTATAGCTAGAGTATAAATATCTATATACATACACATGGGTGACTGGTGCCTCCTGATTCTGGGGGGGGCCCCAGTGGCCAGTCACCAACTGGGGGAGTCCTTCAGCGGCTGATTGCTGACTGCAAGCCCGAAAGTGCTACTGGCAGCAAACCCAGAAGTGCCACCAGCACTTCTCTCAGCTCTTTAAGACCTAGCCAGACTGGGATGACCTAGTTGGCTGTTAAAGGCCACCCACACCCTACAGCCAGGTCAGGGCTGGCACCGGAGCAGGAGCTGTAGCATGCCCCAGGCCTCTCCACCCTCCCTTGTTTCCCTTTGTTTGGACCCAGTGCCTGCCAACTGCATCCACAGCTGGATCACATAGCTGGCCCAGGCCAGGCCAGGCCACTGAGTTTGGGGTCCCTTCCCCTGGTACTGGCTGTGCCTCTGGTGCCAGGGAGAGGAGAACCGTATTCAAGATTCTGGCAGATACCTGCTACTTCAGGTAGATGACCCCAGCTGGCTGCCGGGGCAGAGGAGAGGCACCATATGGCTGCACAAGCACAGCACAGGCTGGCACAGTCGGGATGCTGCACAAAGGCTGCTTCCAGCGAGATCCAGCCTCTGCCTGTGGGGGATGGTCTCTGGCTGTGGGCCTCTGTGCTGTCCCTTCCTGCCATCGGGGCTCCTGGGATGTGCATGTGCTTATCCTGATCCCATGGCTCCCAGGAGCCCTGATGACTGGTTGGGGCAGGGTGGGAGAGCACAGAGGCCCATGTCCAGGCTCTATCACCTGCGGGCAGAAGCTGGATGCGCCATGCTCAGGCCCCAGCAACTCTGGCTCTAGCCTCTAGTGGTGTCATGGGGGACGCTGAGCGAAATCAGGCCTGCCCACCTGTCTCTCCAGTACCACGTAGCAACCAGAGCCAAAGTTCCCAACACATGAGCAGAGCTCGCCCAGGGCTTGCCTACTGATTCTTTCTGGTCAACAGGCAAGCAGTGCGTGCGGTGGCTCCACCTCCAGAGGCCCTGGGCGAGCCACTCTTGGGCCCGAGGGGCTCCATCCCCAGCCTCTGCTGGCACTGAGCAGAAGCAGCCCTGTCCACCTGCCCAACACGGTGCAGGAGCCAGAGCCACCACCTGCCCATGGACCAGATAGAATTAACCCACCCACCTGGACTAGATGCCTCTGGGCTGTATTTTGCCCACACCTGGACAAGATCCTTTCCTGAGGTCCCTTCCAGCTCTCATTTTCTATGATCCTATTGTTGGGGCGGGGGATGGATCTAACACAGGGATGGGCAAAATGCAGCCCGCGGGCCGGATGCAGCCGCCAAGCCCTTTTATCCAGCCCGCGGGGCCCCTAAAAAATTTAGAAAATTAATATTTATCTGCCCCTGGCTGCCGGTCATGTGGCCCTCGATGGATTGCCAAAACTCAGTAAGCAGCCCCCCGCCCAAAATAATTGCCCACCCCGATATAACATATACCCACACATACATAAACATATAGAAGTGTGTGTGTATAAATACAGATAGGTATAAATAGATCGATTTAGGTAGTTATAGATAAATATATAGATATGTGTATGTAACATATATCTAGATCTATGTACATCTATCTATATCCAATCCAGTGTAGATATATTAGATTTAGATATCTATATTTAACATTAAGTATAGATATGGTAGGTGCACATCAATATTGATTAGAGGTGCACCGATACATTGGTCTGATATCAGATGGGCACCGATATAAAGAAAATAGACTGTTTCGGAAATCAGCCTGATGTGGCTGATAATTTGTCTGATAAATGGCCATGCATACACGCAACTGCAGTGTACCACATAGGCAGCAAGAAGCGCAGCCTGGCATCATGGAAAGCTGTGTGCAGCTGATAAATCTGGTGTGGTAGAAGGGAAGCAGGGAGACAAGGGCCGTGGAGGGCAGATCAAGACCTCTGCAGTGAGGGAGGGAACAGAGTTGGGGCAAGCCCCCCAAAAATTTGCCGTAGCCCCGCCCATAGCCCTCCTCCCAGCTGCCAGCAGAGGGTTCGGGATTGATTGTGTGTGGTCAGGGGGTAGAAAAGTAAGAAAGGTTTATTGACTTAACAAAAACACAACTATACATAGTAACAAGACAAACAACGACAGACAAAAATAATTCACATCGGCAACTTGTCGGCAGTCCCCTCTGATGCCTGATGTACGACAAGTTTCTCTTTCCACAAAGCTCAGCGAAGTCAGGTGTTGCTGATCAGTGCTGTCTGAGAGGTACCGGGAAGGACCCTGGTATTCAGTCCTTGGGCTCTTCGAGATCCATGGGCCCACTGATCCAGGTCAACAGTTAATTAATCCTTTTCACAGAGCTGTATCTTCCTTCTGAATGATTTCCGGATGTTTCAGCCAATTTATAACTTCTGAACTGTACTGATAATTTACAGGCACTCAGATTCTTTTTACTTCAACTGTCCTTACACTGACCAATAGCAGTACAAGCCTTGCATTCTTTTGATAAGGTTAATTTTAACTATGCCACAGGGCCTTGCTACTTCAAGGCTTTGCTACATTTACTAGGCCTTACTTTATACAAGGCCTTACTACAGCTTAAACTTTAATTAGGCTCTTAGCAACAACATATAGCTTAATATCTAAACAAATGACAGAAAAACACTTGGTCTAATCTTCCTAGAGCCTTCAGCAAGCACCTTTATCACACAAACATAATTTCAGCTGTCACACCAGCACTGCCACCCAGTCCTGGGCCCAGCCCACAGCTGCAGCCCACCCCACTTGTGCCCCACGCAGATCTGGGTCACATGACCCCCTACTTCCTGTGCCATCCTGGGGTGTGCCCAACAGCAGGAGCCACCCGCCCCGGCTGGGCAACGCTTGCCCCTGCCCCAGCCCCAATCCCTCCCTCACCGCAGGAGCCTTGATCTGCCCCCCGACACACCCCTTCCTTCCCCACTCCCCTTCCACCACAACAGACTTACCAGCTGCACACAGCTCTCCATACTGTATCAGAAATGGGATTGGGATCAGACAATATGCCTCCTTAAAAATCAGCTATTGGTATCAGCCCCCAAAATCTCTATTGGTGTACCCCTAATATTGATGTGTATAATGATAGCTATAGGTCTGTGTGTGTGTGTAAGACTTACGCCGTGGTAGCCAACCTTTTGGCCCCATGGGCTGGACAAGCGGTTCCAGTTTGGTCTGTGGCTTGGCCATGGGTCTGATCCCACTACACGGAGCTTGGAAATTTAGCTGTACAAGAGCAGTGGCAGTGATAATCACTATTGCTCCCCACAACCAAATTGCCAGACCTGTAAGGAGCCCGCAGGCCAGATCTAATACTGATAAAATATTGTTTTTCATGATACACTTCTGCCACTCTTGCAGTACACTAGTTTGCCACAGTACACCCTTTGGAAATTACAGGGATAAACCATGGAGTAGGTGCTGTTTTTTTTAATGATTTAGCATGCCATAAATCTGAAGCAACTATAGCAATTACCATTTCATTTTAAGAGATCTGAATAGGGGTTATTTTTAAAGACTTTTTTTTTTTAAAGTTCATGAAGCAAGGCTTCCTTCTGTCACTTTGTGTTCTTAATCATTTGGCATGCTGCACTGCAATTAAAGTTGTTAACGTTCAGGTTTGGCTGTACTTTGCTATTACACTGGCTTGGGGAAAAAGCATTTCTGAATATATTTAAAATGATCAATTATCTTTACAGAGGTAGAAGCAAGTATATTATGGGCCTAAAAACAATTTGGAAGAACTACAAAGTTTTGATTGTTATGGGACCAAGCCTTGTTCTGATACACTGGGGGTGGTATAACATCCAGTCCAATCCTATTTTCAAAATGAAGAGAGAGGACTTGGACCA